GGAGCAACTACTTTCTGCGTGACCTCGATTTCCTCAGTGTGGCCAGTAGTGTTTACCACTGTTTTTGTGTGACCGTTAATTTTCGCCGATGTGGCCACTATTTCTTGTGAGGCCACCAGGTATGCTGGAGTGCTCGCTGCGCAGATCGTCTCGCAATTTGGGGGTTCGGGCAACACCACTACAAATGATGGTCTCGCTTGGGACCTCCTCCCAGAAAATTCTAAAAACGCTTTACGTATCCCCGCCAGCCCATCCAGAAACGACGCCCAGGCGAGTAGAGGGCCGTCCTGAGGGGCTTTTCGGCGTTTTGGGTGCCTTGGGGGGGCCTCTTTGGGCCGTTTGGGATCCTCTTGGGGGCCTCCTGGGGGTCTTTTGGCGGCCTCTTGGGGCCATCTTGGGGCACTCTTGGGGCCTCCTGGGCGCTTCTTGGGGCCATCTTGGAGGAGAGTGATCAAAGAAGAAGGGAGCTTCAATTAGGGTTGCCCCCTCAGGAGGCCAAAATGGGGCCAAAACCCTAGTACAATCGATGATTTCGGCTTCTTCGTCGAGGCCGTTTTGGACGCTCTGACCGCTCGCGGCCCCCCCAGTCCAGGTCCACGGGGAGGGCCGCGAAGCCGTCTCGCTCACCCCCACCCGCCCTCCCAACACATACGTAGCACCCGAACCTGGCCCGAGCCTCAGCATATTCAGCAGTCGTCGTTGGATGGGCAGCTACGGGGGGCCAATCCGCCGCCGCCGCCGCCGCCGCCGCCGCCGCCGCCGCCGCCGCCGCCGCCGCCTCCGCCCCCCGCTGCCAAACAGCCGCCGCCGCCGCAGCCGCTGCCGCCACCGCCACCGCCGCCGCCGCCGCCGCAGCCGCCGCCGCCGCCGCCGCAGCCGCCGCCGCCACCGCCGCCGCCGCCGCCGCCGCAGCCGCCGCAGCCGCCGCCACCGCCGCCGCAACCGCCGCAGCCGCCGCCGCCAAGTGTACTCTGTATTGGTTTTTGACAGGGATGGTGGGGGGGGGCCGCATCGGGTTGGCTGCGCATGCTCCGAATTTGGAGGCAGCGTGTGTGTTGTATTGTTTTTTACAAGAAGGATGGTGGGGGGGGGTCGTCATGGTCCCTGGTTGGCCCCCAGTCGCCTGGGGGAGGGGGTGTTTATTAATAGGGAACAGTGATAACCCCTCCCCGAAGGGGAAGAAGGAGGGGTGGAAGAGGAAACGCCCTAAACCACCGACGCCCAGAGGGCTGGTGGGATTAATGGCAACGGTCACATCTGTGGGCCCCGAAGTGGGTGGCCTACCGGGCCTGTGTGCGCGCCGCCGTCTCTGGTTCTCGCTGCCCCGAAGCCGAGAAGGGCACGCGCGCGCGCCCCCCCTGCGGGGGCGCGCGCGGCTGCAAGCGTGCCCGCGGGCTTAGTTTTGGCTTCTAGCCCGCGCCCGCTGGGATCGGGCGGGGGTGCCCTCGTGACGTGTTCGGTCCGCGGACGCGTGCCCGCAAGCGTGCTCCGGCGCGCGGGCATTGCACGGGCTGGGGGTGGCTGGCCCGCTCGTCGCGCCAACTGGTCCTCGGCGCTCGCGCGCGCTGCCGGCGTGGGCCCCCCCTGCTCCTCGTCCTCCTCGTCGTGCTCCCTTCTCTTCTCGGGCCTCCTGCGCGCGCCGTCGAACCTCCTCTCGGGGGCCACCGCAAGTCGTGGGATCTTTGAAGGTACACCGCGCAGGGGCGCTGCTTTCCGCCGAGGGGTTCTTTGAGGAGCACTGAGACCCGCGCGAAATCAACGCTTCAACTCCACGCGCTCGACGTTATCATATGCATGCGGCGCGGGGGATGGCTGGCCCCAAAGGTAGTGCTGCAAATATGTTTGGACCTCGACTGGCTCGACAACCAATCCTCCACTGGGCCATCTTTGCCGAAGAATCACATACCTCCTCTTTCCTCGGCGCAAGCTCATACGGCAAATCAGATCCCCTGTTTCGAGGGCCTGGCAGCGCCCAGGCAACATGTGAGCCAATCCCCACACTTCGGCGCGTCGTTATTCCTGCCATGCATGCTGGATCTCATCAACCAGTTCAGCTGTCACCTCCTCAAACCTGCTTCTCCGTACTTGCGCAACCTTGCGAGAACATCTGGCCAGCGCTTGCACCGATTCCGCGTCGTCGCCCCCAATGTTTTTCTGCTGCCGTCGCAGCGCCAATAACCTCGATCTCTCCGCTGCGTAGCGTTCTCACCGTGGCTATCACTCCGAAGTGCCTCTCCGCTGTCACATCTACTGTACTTGCCCACTTTCCCCACGCTTCGCCGGAAGCCTTGGCATTAAAATGCAACTCATGGTAGTCCTCGTGTTGAAACTGGTTTCTATGTCGCCTATGAAGTCCTGACCTCCGTCGCCCTTCAGCAATGCCGGCCCAAACCTATTGAAGTCCCATTCGGCATGTCTGGGCTAGGCCATGACATTCCAAGCTCGTAGTTAGTTGAAATCGAACTTGGACTGTGATCGTAGAGGCCCTGATATCAACTCAAGTTTCTGGGCGGTCTACTTGAAGCCTGCCCATATCACAATCGACGACACCTGCGTCTCGAAGACTGCCACGTAGTCAATCGGCGAGGAGCTGCTGTGTCCATGGAAATATTTCCCACACGAAAATCCATCGACGGCACTCTCAGTGTGCACTTGACCAAAATTTCCGAGACACGATCCCCGGCAGATCTCTGTTCACCCCGACCATATTGTCCCAATACTGGTGATCGAATCAAAACAAGATTCCCTGCAGCACTCCGTTGGATGCCGAACGGGTCGTTAAGGTCAGAGCCCCCGTTGACGGCCGATCGTGCTCTCGACCACGTGATACATGTTTCTACCCACGTGCACATGCAGTCCACCGTCTCCCGTGCACATTCGAAAACCAGCGTCCTCTGTACACTCCCGTCCTTCCCTTCTCTGGGACGGCTTGGGGGGGGAAATACGTGATCGGGATCATCAGGTCGAACTTGCCCGAAACACGGTGAAGAGCAACTCGTCCTTGCAGGTACTTGGGCACAGGCAGAAAATCTACAACGTGTTTCTGTCAAACCTTCTTGCTCCTCAGCAGAAGTGTGATGACAGAGGCTTTGGTAACATGCCGACCTGGAACGCACCCACTGCGCAACGCAAAATGACGCCGAAAGTGCGACACTGTGACGGGATGCTCACCAGCCTGTTCACCCGTACTGGTAAATGTAATATTGTCAATGTGCTTGAATTCAGCCGCAATTCATCAACAGCGGCCGTACAGTTCCAGGGCAAGAAACTCAGCATCGCTGGACGCGGACCCGCCCACAAGTCTCTCACCCGCGGGACTGCGAGATGTTGACCGTGGGGCCATCAGCACTGGCGGGTTACAGTACGCGGGTGTGCTGTGACACTTCTGACCCAAATGAAAGCATCCTGAGCAATGGGGCTGGGAGCAGGAGGAGGAGGCGAAGAACGGGGAGCCAAAAGGAGGAGCAGGAGCGAGGAGCGTGAGGAGAGGGAGGGTGCGATGGAAGGGGAGGGAGAGGGGCGGGAGCACAACCATGAGACCATGAGGGAAAAAAGGAGGAGGAGGAGGAGGAGGAGGACCTGAGTAAACCCAAGATGCATCCAACACACCCTGCCGCCCCAAGCCCCCTCCCCCTTCATAAGCCCCTACAAGCCGCATTCGCCGTCACTACAAGAAGCGTCCCTTGAAAAATCAACACCAAATGGGCCTTTCATTGGGACGAAAACCCCGTGTTGACAAGGAACTGCCGTGCATCCTGCTGACGATTAAACCCTAAAAAAACATGCGAGAGAAGTGCGACCATGCATTCCAACGATGTGTGCAGCGAGATCTCCGTCTCGAGACAGGACCGCCCCTCACCCGTGTAACCGTCGCTTCCTTTTGCACGTTCAGGCACGAGCGTCAAGGAAAGCTCACGCAAGAACCCAACGTTGATAAGGCACCGCCCTCCATCCGTGCAGCTGCTACGCATGTGAAGGAGTCTCTGGCCCTGTCAGTTAAAGCGATCGGCCAATCCCGAGAAGAAGCCGTCATCCATCCTCGAGATGGCTGCGAGCTGGTAAGACCGCGTGCCCGATCCTCAGGCGAGAGTCCCTTTTGGAAGAAAAGCCACCGTCCATCCTGTTTGACTGTTGCAAGCATTTGCGCGAGACGAGTGTGCACGGCGCTTGGGAGAGAGCTCCGTTCAAAAAAGAATCACCCTCCGTCGATTTAGATGCTTCGGGCGTTGAAGACGAATGCGTGCGGCGCTAAAGAGACAGCCCCAGGTTGGAAAAGAGAGGCCCTCCATAATTTGTTACTTCTATAGAGGAACGCACACACACACACACACACACACACACACACACACACACGCGCACGCACACACACACACACACACACACACACACACACACACACACGCACGCACACACACACACACACACACACACGCGCGCGCACGCACACACACACACACACACACACACACACACACACACACGCATATATACACAAACACACACAAAGAACCGAACAATGAGAACGAACGTGCGCGGCGCTAAAGCGAGAGCCACATGTTGAAACCCATCTGTGCTCCATCCCAGTAGCTGCTGCAAACTTTTAGATCAGTGTGCGCGTCGCTGAGGCGAGAGCTCTGTTTTTGAAGCGGAACCACCCTCCGTTCCTAAGGGGTGATGAAATCTCCGGCGAAACGCCCGGCTCGCCATACCGACACGTCTGCTGGTGCGACAGGGAGGATGCATCAACAAGGAAAGGAATGGGGGAGGGCAGGAGGAAAAAGCAGAAGGAGCAGGAGGAACAGGAGCAGGAGAAGCAGGAGGAGGACCAGGAGCTGGGGAAGGAGGAGGAGGAGGCGCAAACGGCTGGCGAAGGCAGGAGGAGGAGAAGGGAGAAGAGGCGCAAGAAGAGCAGAAGCACGAGCAGGAGGCAGAGCTGGAAGAACAGAGGGAGCAGCGCGGGAAGAGGACGCGGGTGGCACGTGAGGGCGGGGCGGGCCTGCTCACCTCGAGATGGAGGCGAACATGCTGTACTGACCCGCCGCAGGCAGCTCGGGTACCTGAACAACAGGCGCCTCATGCTGACTCTCCTCGTCCAATCCTCGTCCCCCCTCCGTTTCGCCCTCGTCCTCTCCATCATCCCCCTCCCTCTTCCCCCTCTCGGTTGTCCTTGCCTCGTCCTCCCCCATCCACCCTCCGTCAAGCTTCCCCTGTTTCTCCCTCCTCCCTCATCCCCTGCTCCTTGCGATTGTCTCCCATTTTACCCCTGATCCTCCTTGCACACGATGCTGGAGCTTCTTTTGCAGGATGGTAGATGGTAACCAGATGTCAGCCAGCTGACTTCTCTCAACGAGTCGTATCAAGCTTGATCCAAGCGGTGACGCAAAGGCCAACACCCCCCAGTCACAAGGACAGGCCCATTCGACCACCACCACCACCACCACCACCACCACCCCTCGACCCGCCTGGGCCGTATCATGCCATGAAGGAAGTCAATTTCAGCTTTGCACTAGCTGCACGCCAAGCCATGCGCATCAGCAAATTACCATTTAATAGCGAAGTACATTCGCGAACAAATTGCAATTGCATAAACTATGGCACGGCCAAATTGTGTGTTGGCCGGTAAGCAGGGCCTAGGCATCGACCCGTCGTGCAGGTGGCTTGCGCTGGACTAGTAAACTGCAGCGCAGCCTGGCCAGCTACCCAACTCAGGGCGAACAAGCTTCAAGGCGAACAGGACGAGGACGAGGACGAGGACGAGGACGAGGACGAGGACGAGGACGAGGACGACGACGACGACGACGACGACGACGACGACGACGACGACGACGACGACGACGACGACGGTGACGACCGCGGCGGCGGCGGCGGCGGCGGCGGCTGTCGGCGGAGGCGGCCCCTCCCGCAGGTGCCCACTCGGGCGGGCAGCAGCCCTCGACGAGCGCGCTGCAGGTGGCGCGCATGCTCACGGCGACGGGCTCTCCTGGGGCCGCGGCCGCGGCCGCGGGGGGACGCTCGCTCGCGGCGGCGCGCGAGGAGGAGGAGAGTGAGGAGGAGGACGACCACTGGCGAGCACGACGAGGGAGACGCGGACGATGAGGAGGAAGGGGACGACGGTCGTCGTCGTCGTCGTCGTCGTCCTCCTCCCCTCCTCCTCCTCCCTCCTCCTCCTCCTCTCCTCCTCCTCTCCTCCTCCTCCTCCTCGTCCTCGTCCTCGTCTTGTCCTTGTCCTCGTCCGTCCTCCTCCTCGTCCTCCCTCGCCTCCTCCTCTCCTCCTCCTCCTCCTCCCTCCTCCTCCTCCTCCTCCTCCTCCTCCTCCTCCTCCTCCTCCTCCTCCTCCTCCGCATCATGTTCTGTGTCCTCGCCAAAGCTCATCTTCGCCGTCCTCTTCAGAGAACGCCTCCGTGTAGAAAAACACCACGGAGGAAAAATGTCTGGCTGTTTTCGGGCACGGGGGGCCCCTCGCCAGGCCCCGGGACCGTCCAAGAACAGCTCGGGATGAAGAGCTGGTCCTCAAGAAGGCGCCCGAACCTCCGGGGAGCCACGCTGCGAAAAAATACATGAAGTCGGAGGTCTGGGTCCGGGGGACCGACCGTAGGGTGGCGCGCCAGGGCGCGGCCCCCCCCCAGGGGCGAAGCGGTGGCACCGCGGCGCCGAGCATCTGAACTGGACCCAAAGTGCTGGCAGAGCAGCGCGAGCGTGATGCGGGAGTGGGCGTGGGGGAGGCACGGCGAGGGGTCGGGGAGGACGGACGGACGGACGGACGCTCACGTGCGCGCTGGAACGCGGCCCACCCAGGGACGGAGCGGGGGCGCCGTTGAGGGAGCAGAGAGGATGTCAGCGAGTCAGCTCACGCAGCTGGCCTTCCCAGCTTCCCAGCTAAAGCAACCCACAGAGGACGTACGCGCCCAAGCACGAACCACCTACATGAACACGGCACCCCAGTCCGCAACACCAGCCGCGTGGTACGAACGTTTGGGCAATGCATACTCTCGAAACCAACGAGGATTGATGTACGTGCACGTGTACGTCCTTCTTTCGCTTCTTCCCATCGCGTTCGAGCGCCAGAGGCGCCACCGCATCAGGGGAAAGCGCCCGGCGGCGGGGCCGACACCAGCTGCATGCAGCAAAGCTCGCACCCCCCCTTTCCCAGGCCCCCCCCCACCCATGTCGTCCGACCCCCGAAAAGCGTCGGGGGGCTGCTGCTGAG